AGCGTCGGCACGGACGCGGGCCGCGCGGGCGCCGCGAGGTAGTCGACGGGCGGCGGCGGCGCCGCGCGCGCGGGCGGCGGCCGGCCCTGGACCACGGGCGGCATGAGCGCCGCCGCCGGCGGCGGCGCCGCGGGCGGCTGGCGGTAGGGCGGCGGCGCCGCGGGCGGCTGGCGGTAGGGGCCGCGCGCGCCCGGCGGCGGCTGGTCGACGGCCGCGCGCGCGGCCGCGCGGTCGCCCGGCGGCAGGAAGTTGTAGAAGTCGCGGATGAGGTCCGGGTAGCCCGCGAGCAGCCCGTGGACGCGCCGCACGATGGCGTCCTTGTCGCCGCGGCCGTCCTGGTAGTCCTTGAGCTCCGACGCGAACCGAGCGATGACGGACGCGTCGAGGCGGTGCACGTGCTGCATGCGGCCGATGTACTCGCGCGCCGCCGCGTTCTCACTCTGGGGCGCCGGCGCCGGCGCCGGCGGTGGCGCCGCGGGCGCGGGCGCGCGGACGACGGGCTTCGGGGGCCGGGGCCGCGGCGGCTGGTCGACGGCGAGTTCCGCTTTGTAGGCGACGCGCGCGAGGAGCCGGCAGCGGCCGTCGTTTGCGGCGTAGGCGCCCCGGGGCAGGCGCGCGGCGTCGGCGAGGCGCCGGAGCAGCTCCGCGCCGCCGGGCGTGCGCTTGCGCCGCGGCTCGGAGCCGCGGGGCCCCGGCCGCGGCGGCGGCGCCGCGGCCCTGGCGCGCTTCCCCGCGGGGTCGCCGCTTTGCGGCTTCTTGCGCCGCTTGCCCGCGTAGGACCGCAGGAGCGCGTCCTCCTCGGCGACGAGGCGCTGCCACTCCACGTTCTTGCGGAGGTCGGGCTCGCCCCGGCCGTTCGTGAAGACGAGCGCGCTCTCCGGTAGCCGCCGGAGCCTCTCGTCCGCGGCCTCGACGGCGGGCACCATGGCCGGGTTCGCCGCCGCGACGTCGCGGAGCTCGACGGTGATGCCCGCGTGGACCGTGAGCACCTCGGCGTCGCCGGGCGGCCCGCGGCCGCGCCGCGCCTTCGCCCGCGGCGGCGGCCGCTTCTTCGGCGGCGGCGTCTTGGGCCGCGGCTGCGAGGGGTTGGGGGATGACGGGGGGCGGGGGGCGCGGCGGCGCACCTTGTTGATGAAGGTGACGACGAGGGGCGTCTCCGGGTCGTCGCTCGGCTCGGTCCAGATGGTCTCGGCCGGCGCGGACGCCGTCGACGCGGCGCGCGGCCGCGGCGCGCGCGGCGCGGGCGACGCGGCGGCGCCGGCGAAGGCCTCGGTCGCGCAGCGCTCCGCGTGGGCCTCGAGGAGCTCCGGCGCCATGACGCGGCCGCAGATCCTGCGCGGGGCGCGGGGCGGACTCGGTCGTTGGTCGCGGCGCGACCCGGCGGCGAGGCGAGGCGGTCGCGGGCGCCGCGCGGCCGCCCGGCGCCCCCGGGACCCCGTGGACGCGGCGCGCCACGGGCAGGGCTGCGGCGCGAAGCTCTGGGTGCTCGTCTTCGCCGACAGGCGAGTCGTTCGGCGCGGCGACGGCTCCGGCGCGTCGTCGGATCCGCTCGCCCCCTCGTCGCCGCTCGCTTGCTCGCTCTCGGACCGCGTGCCGCCGTCGGTCTCGGCGTCGGCCATGGGGTTCGCGGGGGTGTTCGGGGGGGTGCGGAGCGTCGATCTTCTCGCCCACGAGTCGCCGATCGGGGCGGTGCACCTATGAAATGATGCGAAACTTTCGAGGGCGGGGTTCCGACACACTCGGGCGGCGTTTTCTCACCTCGGGGCAGGCGATTCGACACACTTCGGCGGCGTTCCCCAAGCAGCTGCGTCGCGCGCGCGAGGCTGTATGAGCCGGACGACCCGAGATGATTTTTGTTGAGCGCCCCCGTCTTCACGTTTCCCCCGAGTTGCAGCTCGAGCCGAACTTGGACGCGTCCGCCAAGCCGGAACGACGTCCCTGGGCTTACACATACCTGATCCCACCGCGACGGGGGGGCACGCCGTCGCGAGCGCCGACGCCCGCGCCGCGGACCGCGGCAACCCGCTTCAACGTGGAAGATAAATCTTGAAACTGATTGAGGTCGAGGCGGGATGGCACCATCGTTGGCGCGGCGGTGAGGAGGATGCCGCGGAACACGGGCGGCGCCGACGCCATGGAGGAGCTGGGGCTGGGCCCCGGGGACACGCTGATCGGGAAGAACCCGGGGCTGCCCCTGAAGAGCGTGGAGAACGCGGCGCAGCTCGAGCGGAACAAGGGCTGGGCGCTGCGCGTGGACCCCGGCGGCGGCAAGTCCTTCGTCCTCCAGCAGGGCACGTCGATCATGAAGAACTGGAAGTCCATGGTCGACGGCCAGCGGGACCGCATCTCGAAGATCAAGACCAAGGCCGACAGGGAGGTCAGGGCCGAGCGGGCCAAGTGCAAGACGCTCCAGCAGGACCAGATGCGGCTCCAGGGCGCCGAGGCGCGGCTCCGGCGGGAGCTCGCGGAGTGCCTGGCGCGGGAGGCGGAGCGCGACGAGAGCTTCCGGCGCAGGGCGGAGGACTGGCGGGGCCGCATCGAGCGCGCGGACCGCGAGTCGCAGCGGTCGTCGAAGCTCGTCGCGGAGTTCGGGCCGGCGCTCCAGCGGCTCGAGGCGGAGAACCGGGCCCTGCGGGCCGACGGCGCGGCGCTGCGCGCGCGGCTCGCGGAGCGCGCGACGTCGCCGCGGAACGCGCTCGACCCGATCCAGGCCATCGAGGAGGTGCAGTCGCGCCTGGAGAAGGTCGTCGCCCGCGAGGTCGACGCGCTGCGGGCCGAGAACAAACAGCTGCGCCTGGAACTTTTGGAGAAGGACGCCGCGCTGCTCGAGAAGCCCGCGGCCCCGGAGTTCCCCGAGAAGTTGGTCGCGAGGAATCCGGCCGGGTCCGCGGCCGCGCCCGCGCCGCCGCCGGAGAAGCCCAGGGCGCGGTCCTCCTCGAAGAAGAAGAAGCGCGGCTCCATGGCCGTCCGGGGCCAGTCGGCGTCGCTCTACGCGGACCGCGCGTACGTGCGAGTGGACCACCCGAAGCCCTCGCCCATCGTGCTCACGTCGCGCCACCCCATCCCCGCCCAGGCGCCGGCGCCGTCGCCGGCCTTCGCGCCGCGGCCCGCGCCGCGCCAGCCGCCGCGGACCTTCCCGCCGCCCAAGGCGATCCGCCCCTGCTCCGCGCCGCCGAAGCGCCTCGTCGAGCCGGCGGACGGCGGCGGCGCGCCGCGGCCCGCGACGGCGACGCCGGCCGCGCCGCCGGCGTCCCAGGCGCCGCGGCGCGCCCTGGACGCGCCCGAGGACCGCGCGGCCGTCCCCGCCGTCGTCCGCGTCAAGCCGACGGCGCGGCCGTCGACGGCGCCGCCGGGCCGCGACCTGTGTGGAATTCAAATATTCAACCCGACTTCAATGTGCGCATATGCGACAGTTTCGACGCAAGCTCTTCGGCTGTGCTTCGAGAACTCGACGAGAGCAATCGATTCGTCCAAAAATCAGCCGAATCGACTTCGATTTGATCGAGCTAGAGAATTCTGAAGTTTGGTCAGGACCACCCAAACCAGTGGTTGAATTCCACACCTGTAGGCCGCGACAAGCGCGACTCGCCGCGCGCGCTCAAGATCTACATGCCCGTCGCGACCAACGCGCCCGCCGCCGCGCGGCCGCCGTCGCCGGTCTACGCCAAGGGGCTCGCCCTCGCCAAGTCGCCGAGCCGCGCGCCCAGCGCGGACGCGCTCGGAAGTGCGCTCGGCGACCTCGACGGCCCGCCGCCGGCGTGACGACTAGGGCTTAGGTCGCTTCTCGGGCCCGGGCCGCGCGGGGCCGATGGCGGGGCGCTTCGCCCCCGGCGGCGGCCCGGCGGCGGGGCCGATCGCCGCCGCGGGCGCCCGCTCGGGACGCGCGGGCGCCGCGATCGCGCGCTCGGGCCGCGCGGGCGCCGCCGGAACCGCGCGCTCGGGCCGCGCGGGTGCTGCCGGAGCCGCCCGTTCGGGTCGCGCGGGCGCCGCCGGAGCCGCGCGCTCGGGCCGCGCGGGCGCCGCCGGAGCCGCGCGCTCGGGCCGCGCGGGCGCGCCGATGGGGCCGCGCGCGGGCCCGGCCGCGCGCGCGGGCGCCGGCGCCGGCGCGGCGCCCGTGCGCTTCGCGTCGGCGGCCCGCGCCGCGTCGAGGCGCGCCTCGAGCGCCCGGAGCTGCGCCAGGAAGGCGTCGTTCGGCGCCGCGGACGGCCGCGTCTCGCGGACCAAATCGAGCGCCCCGTCGACCGAGAGCCCCGCGGACGTCATGAGGTGCGCGACGACGAAGGTCGCGGACCGCGACACGCCCCGGTTGCAGTGCACGAGCACGCCGCCGTGGTGGAGCCGCGACGCGATGAAGTCGCACGCGCCGTCGAAATGGCCCGACGCGTCCTCCGCCTGCGTGTCGAAGATGGGCACGCGGCGGTAGCGCATGGCCGGTTCCTTCTCGAAGAAGTTGGGGCAGCCCGTGCTCGACTCGTCGCGGGGCGGCGTGCAGTTGAGCACCGCGGTGATCTTCAACGACCGCAGGAGCGACCGGTCCTTGGCGTCGTGGCGGTCGCCGAGGTAGAGGCGCAGGTCGCCGATGCGCGCCGGGCCCATGGGCGCGCGGTACGTGATGGGAGACCGGTCGGCGATGGTGGCGGAGGTCTGGCGCGGGCGGAGGCGCGCGCGCGGTGCGACTGGGCGCGGCGTGGCCTCCTTGGGGCACCACCTCGTCGCGGTTGGGCCTGAGGCAAAATTGCCCTTCAGCTTGCCCATCAACCGCCGCTGCTGAAGTCGATCCGGGGTGACGATGGATCCGCGTTTGCCGTGGGCAGCCGTCGCATTGACGATCGCAGCCATAATGCTCTATCGCCGCTACTGCGCCCGCGCCGTCGCCGAGTTCCTCGGGCTGCTCGACGGCTGGGACGCGGAGATCGCCGACGCCAAGGCCTACGCAGCAGCCGCCGTCCGGCGCGCGCGCATCGCGCCGGACTTCCCGCTGGAGGTGGACGTCGTCTGCAGCGGCGGCGGCTTCAAGGTCTTGTACGCCGCCGGCGCGCTCTACTTCTTGAAGACATACGGCATCACGACGCGGCGAGTCGCGGGCGCGTCGGCCGGCGGACTCTGCGCGTTCATGCACTGGTCCGACGGCGTCGCCGCGAACGGGTGATTCAACGTCGCTTCAACGTGATTGTTCCGCGCGCGCGCGTTCCGCGAAACGCATCCACGCGTCGAGACCTTTGTGTGCCCAGGTCCGACGGCATCGCCGACGGCCTGCGCTGGTCCTTCTCCTTCGGCGCGATGCTCCAGCGCTTCCCCCTGGCGCACCCGGGCCCCTACTGGGAGCTCTTCTACGAGCGCCAGTGCGGCCGGCTGCCGGAGCTCCCGGCGCCGGGCGCGCTGACGGTGTCGCTGACGCGCGTCCGCGCCTACGCGCCCCCCAAGGGCGCGAACGAGCGCGTCGACGCCTTCGCGTCGCGCGGCGACCTCTTCACGACGCTCATGGCCTCGGGGTCCGTGCCGCTGATCACGTGCTCACCGCTCGGGCGCGCGCACCGCGGCGGCCGCGCGATCGACGGCGGCGTCACGGACAACGCGCCGCTCTTCGTCGACGGGGAGGCGACGCCCCAGCTCGTCCTGCGGTACCGCACGCTCGACGCCAAGTGGCAGGGGCGCGTCGCCGGCGTCGTGTTCACGCCGCGGGAGATGCTCGAGCTCTTCAAGCGGGGCGTCGACGACGCCGCGGCGTTCCTCGACGTCGCGGGGCACCTGGACCACCGGGACGACGGCGAGCGGCCCTTCGCGGGGCGGCTGGAGCTCATCCGGCCGGAGGTCGCGGCGCGGCGCGGCGTCGACCGGCCCGAGGTCGGCTTCGCGACGCTCGCGTCCCTCGCGAAGCGGACCTACTCCATGGACGGCCTCTCGTCCGTGATGAGCTAGCGTCTTAACTCGCGGCGTCGGCCTTGTGGGCCTTGCGCCCGATGTTGGACCGCGACTTCATCGCCGTCGCGAGGTCGTCGCGGTCGAGGGACTCGGACGACAGGAACGCGAAGGCGCCGTGGCGCGCCGGCCCGCGGTACAGCAGGTCCACGGGCGGCGCGAGCCGGCCCCGCAGCAGGACGTCGCAGCCGTCGAGCGACGCCGCGGGCGACCAGAGCCGCACGGCGCCCGCCGCCGCGGACGTGACGAGCGCGAGGCCCGCGCACGGCGCGGCCTGGAGCCAGTCGGCCGGCGGCCAGACGCCCGGCCCGTCCGCGCCCCCCGCGGGCACGCCGCCGGCGGCGGCGACGAGGTCGCGCGGCAGGTCCGCGCTCCGCGCGAGGCCGACGAGCGACCAGGGCAGCGTCGCCGCGGCCTCGGCGCGGCTCGCCGGCGCGAAGTCCGCGGCGCCGCCGACGTAGGCCACGCTCAGGCGCCGCCAGTCCGCGACGCGCGGCGCCGCTTTCGCGATGGCGTCGGCCACGTCGCCGCGCGGGTCCGCGAGGGCGCCGTTGCGCGCCGCGGGGCCGTCGTCGCCGAATTCGAGCGTTTCGGCGAAGTAGCACGCGAGCTGCAGCGCGCGCCGCGCGGCGGGCGCCGCGGGCCGCCGCGCGGCCAGGTCCCCCTCGGACTCGCGCCGCCGCTTGTGTTCGCCGTCGTCGGCGAAGTTTCCGAGGCAGCGCAGGTGCGGCCGCGGATCGCACGCGTCGAGCGCCGAAGCGACGGGCGCGCCTCGCCGCGCGCAAAAGGCCGCGTCGCCCGCCGCGAAGACGTGCGTCGGCCGCAGCGCCCGGATCACATTCGCGAGGAGCTCCGCCCCCAGGCCCGTGACCCAGCCGCAGGTGTTGACGACGAGGGGCACGCCCGCGGGCGCGAGCTCGGAAAGCCACAACCCGTGGAGCGCCGCCGCGGCGTCGAGGTAGCCGCCCGGGTCGTCGCGGGGCGTGTTGTCGCCGAAGAAGTAGCGCCGCTTTACGTCGCCGAGCTCCCGGGCGCAGAGGTGGGGCGGCGCGAGCAGCGGGCCGTCGAGCACGCGCAGCGACAGGCACGCGGGCGGCCCCGCGGACGGCTGGCCGACGTCGAGCTCCAGCAGCGCCGCCCTCCCGAGGCCGTTGAGGAGCTGGCGGCAGAACGTGGACTTGCCGGCGCCCTTGGCGCCGACGACGACGCCGCAGGGCGCCCGGCCCGCCGCGGCGAAGGCCCGGCGCGCGCCGGCCCACGCGGCCGGCTCGAGGAGCGGCCGGAGGCCGCCGCCGTCCTCGCCGACGCGGAACGCGGCGCAGCCCGCGAGCCGCGCGCGCGGTAGGTGCGCCCCGTCGTCCCAGGCCTGCGCCGCGTCGCGCGCGCCGCTCCGCAGGCCGTCGGCCGCGTCGAAGGCCTCGAGCTCCGCGACCGCCGCGCCGCCGCGCCGCAGCCAGCCCGGGCCCGCGGCGAGGACCGCGGCGTCGCCCGCGCCGGGGGACACGCCGCGCAGCGACACGGGCGGCAGCGCCCGCGTCGAGTGGAGTTGCACGCGCGGCGCGCCGGCCTCGAGCGCGTGGCCGTGGACCTCGCAGGCGCCGGCGAGGCAGCGCAGCCAGGCGGACCCGACGACGACGACGCGCTCGCCGGGCTGCAGCGCGACGACGAGCCGCGACGGGTCCGGGCTCCAGAACGTCGTGTTGTCGTTCATGGTGTTGGTCTAGGGAGAGCCCGAGCCCATCGTGGCGTCGCCCGCTCGGACGGCACCTTGAACAGCAAAGTGCACTCAATCTCGGAGAGCCGATCGTGCGCCCGCTGATGGGACGTCAAGCCCAGGGAAACATTGCACCTCAACTAGAGACTCGGCGCGCGCTCAGGACGGGTAGGAGGAGACGAGCGCGAAGAAGATGCCCATCTTCAGGATGACGACGACGGGGAACACGTAGCGCGCGACGATGTCGAGCTGGAGGGACCGGGGGAGCATCTTGAAGTCGAGGCTCGTCGTGTGCGTCTTCTGGAGCGCGACTTCCACGTGGACGTCGACGTCGAGCAGGAGCCGCAGGAAGTCGTCAAAGTCCATGGAGTCGCCGTGGGGCGTCGCGTCCCAGAGGTGCGTCATGACGCGCTGCGACACGCGGACGTTGAAGTCCGCGAGGAGCTTCCGCGTCTGCTCCTCGCCGACGCGGTACTGGCCCTCGCGCAGCACCGCGAGGTAGCGCGTCCGCACGCGCTCGACAAGGATGCGCGCGGGCGGCGCAAGGCGCGCGAGCGTGGGCTCGAAGGGGTCGAACTTGGTCAGCGTCTCCTTGGCCGCGGCGTGCTCGTCGCGCCGCGCGTCGCCGCGGCCCTCGTCGCCGCCGCGCGCGGGCGGCGGCGCGCGCCGCGCGGCCGCGCGCGCCTCGACGTCGTCGGGGAAGACGGCGATGGCGCTGAGCTGGGGCTCGGGCTGGGCCTCCTCCGGCCGGCAGGCGAGCATCCCCGCCCACTTGGCCGTCGGCGACAGCGGCGGCGGCGGCGGCGCGGGCGGCGGCGGCGCGGGCGGCGGCGGCGCGGGCGCCGGCGCGGGCTTCGGCGCGGGCGCCGCGGCCTCCGCCTGCTTTTCGACGGCGGCGTCGAGCCGCGCGAGGATGTCCCGGCCGTGCGTGTTGATCGCGTCGCGGATCGCGTGCCCCATCTTCTCGCGGCCGACGAAGTAGCTGACGAAGCCGAATTCGACGGCCGCGGCCGCCATGAGCAGCAGCGAGTACAGCAGGTAGTCCGTGAGCCAGACGCCGTAGCTGATCGGTGGCAGCACGGCGTAGACGCCGTTGATCATCGTCCGCTCGATGAGGAGGCCGATGGCGACGCACGCGACGCGCGCGGGCACCGCGGCGCGGTCGACGAAGAAGCCCGTGTAGACGAACATCATGAAGATGGCGTCGGGGATGATGGCGTTGACGTAAAAGTACCGGGCCTTCCGCTCGAGCTTGAGCGAGGCCTCGACGTAGTCCCAGTCCTGGTCGATGTCGCTGAGGATCGACTCGCGGCGGATGCTCCGCAGGCCGTCCGTGTCGTAGACGACGTTCTCGCCGGATACGTGGACGGGCTCGGCCTCGGCGACGACCCAGATCGGGTTCTTGATGTGGCTGCCCGAGGAGAAGCTCACGCCGCTCCCGCCGACGCCCGGCGTGCCGCCGCGCGCGACGACCCGCAGGTCCGCGGAGCCGTGGACGTAGGACGCGGCGAGGATCGGGCAGCGGTGCGTGTCGAAGGGCATGCGGCCGTAGTGCATGTCGCAGCTCAGCGCCAGCATGATCATCTTGCTCGAGCAGATGCGGCCCTCGCGCGTGACGACGAGCATCTCCGGCTTCGCCGACGCCTCGGAGGGGAAGCCCACGCCCGCGATGTTCTCGACGACGACGTCGGGCTGCCAGATGTCGCCCGCGTAGCGCATGATGTCGAGCGACTCGAGGCACGCGTCGTCGGCCACGGACCACGCGAGCCGCGGGTCCGTCCACCAGATGCGCTCGTAGACGAGGATCGCGAACTCGCGGCGGATGGAGTCGACCTCCTTGAGTTCGAGGAGGCGGAACTGGATCTCGACGACGTCCGGGTCCCCGTGGCCGCCCCGGCCCGTCGCGAGGACCAGGGCGTGGTTCGGCCGCACGCTCGCGTCGTAGCCCGCGTCGCGCGTCCGGTTCCACCACTCCTGGGAGCTGCTGATGCCCGTGCAGGTCTGGACGTCGAAGGGGAACGGCGACGCGCCCACGTCGTCGCCGACGACGGACGCGGCGACGAGCGCGCCGAGCAGCACGCGGAGCTGCCCCAGGTGGAAGCCCATCGAGCAACCAAGTAAGCAACCACCAGGTCCTAAAAATTGATGTCGGCTTCATATCCCCACGGTGAACCATGTTGAACCAGCTTGCACCTACTAGTAAAAAAAAAGGAAACACACGAACGCTTACGCGGCGCCGTCGTCGCCGGCGACGAGGGCGGCGGCGTCGGGGTGGCCGAGGGCCGCGGCGCGGCCGAAGCAGGCCCGCGCCTTGCGCGCGTCCGCGGCGACGCCGAAGGTGCCCGTGCGGTAGCACTGGCCGAGCGCGAAGGCCGCGTTGGGCTCGCCGAGGGCCGCGGCGCGCGTGATGAGCTCGATTGCGCGCGCGTGGTCCTTGGGCACGCCCGTGCCGAAGGCGTAGCACATGCCCCGGTTGTGGAGGCCCGGCGGGAAGTCCTGGTCCGCGGCGTCGCGGAAGCACTTGGCCGCGCGGCTCTTGTTGAGCCGCACGCCGTCGCCCGCTAAATAAGCCAAGCCCAGGTTGTACTGGCCCGCGGCGTCGCCGAGGGCCGCCGCGGCGTCGAAGCGCGCCGCGGCGCGCGCCGCGTCGGGCCGGAGGCCGAAGTGGCCGCGGCCGGCCGCGACGCCCAGCCGCGTCGTCGCCGCGGCGTGGCCCCTCGCGGCGTGGGCCTCGAGCCGCGCGACGATCTCGGCGTCGGGCAGCGGGTGGGCGACGCCGCAGCCGCAGACGTGGCCGCCGCGGACCGCGCCGCGGCAGCTCCGGCAGACCGCGCGGACGCAGCAGGCGAGCACGTGGCGGTAGCCGCTCGCCACGGGGCCGGCGCAGACGCCGCAGCGGAGCGGCGGCGGCGCCCGGGGCTCCCCGCCCTCGGACCGCGCGCGCCGCCGGCAGCGGTCGTCGCGGGGCCGCGGCACGGGGCTCGGCGCCCAGGACACGCTCCGCACGGACGTCGCGTCGTCGAAGGCGCGCGACGCGTCGTCGCAGGCGCTGCTCGAGCCCTGGACGCCGTCGAACCCGCCCCGGGCGTTCGCCATCCCGGCGGCCCCGCGCAGCCCCATTCCGCCCCGCGGGCAGGAGTGATGCGTTCTTCCAGGCCGCACGGTAGATTCACCACAGATTCACCACTTGCTTCACCGTCGGCGCCACAGCAGCTCGGGACTCCCCAGTCGTAGTTAGAGCTCGTTGCCGAAGAAGCCGTGCTCCGGCCCGCGCGGGAGCCGGCTCTTGAGCGCGAAGCCCGGGTGCCGCAGGTTGCGTATCTCGTGCTCGAGCTCGAAGATGATCGGGTGGCCGTGGCCCTCGACGGCGTCGAGGTCCGGGAAGCCCCGGATGCGGAACTCGTTGTGCTCGAGGGCGTCCTTGAGCGAGTCGTACTTGAACTGGGGGAAGCGCGGGTTGTTGTAGAGCAGGCCGCGGACGAAGAGCTGGTCGTAGGTCGCCGTCCACGCGTCGCCGTTGACGTAGATGGCCAGGTGGTGGCCGTCGTAGGCCGGCACGTCGCCGGCGACGTCCGTGAACGTGAGCCGCTGCTCGAAGCCGATGGCGACGGCGCAGGCGCCCTTGGAGAGCGTCGTTTTCGCGTGGAAGACCAAGTCGTAGAACTTGCAGATCTTCTTCGCGGCGCCCGTCGGCACGTCGAAGGCGACGCCGCGGATGCCGACACCCTCGGAGATGCCCATGAACATCGTGTCCATGCCGCCCTTCCTGACGCCCTTCACGGGGCCCACGAGCTCGCGCGACCTCGAATCGTCGACGGCCTCGACGACGAACCGGTTGCCGAAGGGCCCCTCGAAGCGGAACTCGTCGTCGACCTCCGCGCCCCAGGCCTCGAGGCGCGCCCGCAGGTCGTCGAGGGCGCCGCGGGCGTAGAGGAGCGCGATCTCGCCGCGCATCGTCTGGAAGTGGTGCCCGTCCCCGTCCTCCATGCCGTCGCCGACCGGCAGGTGGAACTGCTGCAGGCCCACGTTCGCCCAGGACAGGTTCGCCAGGGCCGGCTGCGAGCGAAACTCGCGCGCCTCGTTCGTCCGCGTCAGCGTGTGGGACGCGCGGCTGTCGCGCGCGCAGCGCAGTACTTCGAAATAGAAGGCGTCGACGCGCCGGTCCCAGGCCCGGCCCGAGTTCAAATTCACGTGCTCGAGGACGGCGAAGGGCTCGTTGGGCACGGGCAGGCTCGGCAGCTCCGGGATGCGCTGGGCGCCGCAGAGAGCGGCGACGACGAGGAGGAGTCGCGGCAGCCCCATCGCGACGTCGCGACACGCAGGAAGGTCGAATTTGCCAGTTCACCGTCAGTTTCTCTGAACGGAATGATTCTGACCGTGGTGACGAGGCAGCAGCCCGGTCTTATCCATCGACGAAAGCATGGCCGCCGAGGTCGGGAGCGACCTCGCGGCTGCGTTCACGTCGGCCGTCTTCGTCGCGCCCGTCGTCGCCGCCGTCGACAAGGCCATCACGGAGTCGTCGGCCGGCCGGGCCAACATCTTCGCGTCGTTCACGGCGACGATGCGGGGCTTCCTGGATCCGCGGGCCCTGCGGCGGCCCGAGTTTCTGTACGCCTGGGCGCTCTTCGCCGGGACCTACACGATCAACAACCTCGTCTGCTCCGCGGAGCAGCACAAGAAGACGTCGCTCGCCGCGGCGAAGACGAGCAGCGTCTTCGCGGGCAACATGTCGCTCGCGATGTGGAAGGACGCGGCGTTCGCGCGCATCTTCGGCGGCGCCACGGCGGCGGCGCTGCCCCCGAAATCCTACGGCGCCTGGGCCGTGCGCGACCTCACGGGCATGTCCGTCGTCTTCACGTTGCCGCCGCTGTTAGCGCCGAAGCTCGCGGCGGCCACGGACATGAATCTCAGATCCGCGGAGACGTTTTTGCAGTTCACGCTGCCCATGGCCATCCAGCCCGTCGTCGCGCCCTTCCACCAGCTCGGCTTCCTCTTCTCCTTCAAGCCCGACGCGCCCCTGTCGTCCCACTGGTCGACGGTGAAGGCGCAGGTCGGCGGCGTCGTCGTCATGCGGTGGATCCGGGGCTTCCCGCCCTACTGCGTCGGCGCGACGATGAACAAGAACCTGCGCTACGAGTTCCGCGACGCGCTGGGCCTCTCCAACGACTCCGTCGCCGCGCCGGAGCCGCTCGCGCGCGCCGTGACGAAGCCGGGCGACTCGCTCGCGCTCGCGCGGACGATGACGCCCGGCTGACGCCGGACGGCGGAGGTGTGACCCTGCTCCCCCCTCTCCGCGCGGATGACGGCCCCGCGCGCGCCGGACCGGCGCGCGGGGCCCGACGGCGCCGTTTTGAACATGCTGTTTGAACATTTAAGTGTGCATATACCTTACGCCGTCGACGCGAAGGACGTCTCGAGCGCCCACCGGTTCCACCGCGCGTTCTCCTCGGGGACGTCGCCGAGCGCGTCGGCCCAGGCCCGCGCCAGCTGCGCGCGCCGCTCGAGGACGACCGCCGTCGTCGGGTCCGACACGAGCTTCTCGCCGTCGAAGCCCGGCGCGATGCCGACGAGGGCCTCGAAGAGCCGGTGCGTGACCGACCGCCGGCTCGGGTCGCCGCGCGTCCAGGGGTTGTGCTGGAAGAAGCCGGGTCGAAAGTCGCGCCAGATCGCGTCCAATTTCGCGAACTTCGCCGCGTCCTCGCGGAGTAGCTCGTCGATCGTCGCCGCGGTCGCGAGTTGCAGGATCAGATCGTAGGTCGCGCCCCGAAAGGGCGACGCGCGCTGCCCCGCGCCGCCCTGCCGCGTGTCGTCGAAGACGGGCGCCTCCGTGCCGTAGAGCGCCCGCTCGCGCACGTCGTCCGACTCGCGCGCGACCAAGTCCCGCAGGTCCGCGGCGCACTCCTCGGCGACCTGCTCCCGGATCGCGAAGACGCGCTGGGCGATCTGCTTCGGCCGCACGTCGAAGACGTATTCCACGTAGCGCGGCTTCAGGTAGGGGTTGGCGCCGCGGTTGATGGGCTCGCCCGTCAGCCCGTTGATGCCGCCGTGGCCCCGGCCCGCGGCGCAGCCCATGGGCTTCTTCACGACGATCTCGAGGTCGTCCTCGTCGAGGAGCGCGCAGAGGTAGTCGCACGACGTTCGGGACGGCAGCGCGCCGACGCCGTGGTAGTCGGCGTCGAGCGGCGGGCTGCGGCCATCCTCTTCGTCCTCCGTCGGCGGCGGCCGCAGGTGCTCGGCGAGGTAGTCGCCGCTCGTCTCGTCCATGTTGAGCTCGAAGTAGTAGAGCTGCTGCTGCACGGCGCGCTGCGTGACGAAGCGGCTCAGAGCTGCGGGCTTCACGAGGTCCGGCGGGTAGGGCGGCCGCGACGAGAGCGCATGGACGGTGGCGACGGTGGCCCAGAGCCAGCGGAATTGGGACAACAGGTACAAGCTCATCCCCAACGCGCCGTTCGTCGTCAACACTCCATGCCAGCAGCACCGCGCCAAGAAAAGCCTCAAACGCGTCACACCGTAACCTGTCGCAGTGACAGCCCGCCGGCGCGGCGCGCAGCGCTGTGCGCGCCCCCTGGGGTCCGACCACCGCTTCCGACTCGGTCCTCTGGTCGGTAGGGTGGCGCGCACCACTTTTC